CATTGAAAATTTTAAGGAGTATTGGCATTAAACCTTCTGTAAATCTCTTGCAGAATTCAGCCATGAGTCCATCAGGATCTGGGCTTTTCTTTGTTGGTAAGTTTTTAATCACATTTTTTATTTCAGTGGCTGATACTGGATTATTCAGAATTGCTATATCTTCTTGATTGAGCTTTGGTAGTTCATATGTTCCTAGAAGCCTATCCATTTCCTCTGTTTTCCACCCTATATGAGTAGAGATAGGTGTTCATGATCTTTTGAATTTCCACAGGATCTGTAGTAATTTCCCTGTTTTCAGTCCTTATTATGTGGATTAGAGTTTTTCTTTCTTTTTCTTGATAAGGTTGGCTGGGGATTTATCAATTTTGTTTATTCTCTAAAAAACCTGCTCATTGATTGATTCATCAGTTCTTTTGGGTTTTTTTTTTGTTTGTTTGTTTGTTTTTAGTTTCTATTGCATTAATTTCTGCTCTAATCTTTATAGTTTTCTCTCTTCTATGAGCTTTGGGTTTGACTTGCTCTTCCTTTTTCTAGAAGCTTGAAATGTAGCATTAGACTATTTATTTGTGTCCATTCCATTTTCTTGATGTGACTATTTATTGCTACATATTTCCTTCTTAGGACTGCTTTCATTGCATCCCATAGATTGCGATATGTTGTATCTGCATTTTCATTGTATTGTAGGTATTGTTTTATTTCTTCTTTAATTTCATCTGTAACCCACGGGTTATTCAAAAGGTTGTTATTTAATTTCCATGCATTTATGCAGGTTTTGCAGGGATTTTAGCCATTGATTTCCAATTTTAGTGCAGTATGATCAGATATTATGCATGGGATAATTTTCTCCCTTTGCAATAAGAATGTTTTATGGGTTAATATGTCATCTATTTTGGGGAATGTCCCATGTGCATCTGAGAAAAATATATATTCTGATGTTATTGGGTGAAACACTCTGTAAACATCCATTAAGTCCAATGACTCACAGGTATGATTCATTTCTGTTATTTCTTTGCTTACTTTTTGTCTAGTTGATCTATCTCTTTGTGACAGTGAAGTGTTAAGGTTTCCTACTACAACTGTGTTCTTGCACATTTGGTTTTTCATGTCCATTAGTATTTGTCTTATGTAGTTGGGTGCTCCTGTATTTGGTGCAAATATATTTATAATTGTTAGTTCTTCCTCTTGTAGTTTTCTACTTACAAGTATGTAGTGACCTTCTTTATCTCTTTTAATATTTTAGGTTTGAAGTTCACTTTGTCTACAAACAGAATAGCTACCTCTGCTTTTTTCTGGGTTCTTGTTGCATGGAATACTGTTTTCCATCCTTTGACTTCTAATCTATGAGTTTCTTTTGAGTGAGATGTGTTTATTGTATACAGCATATTGTGGGATCCTGTTTCTTGATCCATCCTGTCAACCTGTTTCTTTTGAAAGGTGAATTGAACCCATTTACATTTATGAACATAACTGATATGTACTGGCTTGACTTTGCCATGTTTGCCATGTTTCCTATTGTTGGTTTCCTGCTTTTCTCTCTTGTTTAATTTTTTTGTCCAACCCGGTGGTTTCTTTCTGTTGTTGATCTGGAGATTGTGGTCATTTTCATCTCTATCTAGCATGTCTTTCAGTACTCTTTCTAGGGTTGGTGTGGTGGACATAAATTCCTTCAGTTGTTCTTTGTCATGGAAGTATCTTGTTTCTCCATTAAATTTGAAAGATAGTTTTTCTGGGTACATCAGTCTGAGTTGAAAGTGGTTTTTTTTAGGACTTGAAATACTTCACTCCAAGCTTGTCTTAACTTGAAGGTTTGTGCTGAAAAGTCTGCCATGATTCTAACAGGCTTTCCTTGACAGGTGAGTTGTGTCTTTTCTCTAACAGCTTTTAGTATTCTGTTTTTATGTTGTATGTCTGGGATCTTAATTATTACATATCTGGGTATAGATTTCTGTTGATTGTGACTGTTTGGCATTCTGTATTCCTCATTTATTGTATATCAATTTTTTTTCCCTATGTGTGGGAAATTTTCTGCTATTACTTCTTTGAATAGTTTAGTTATGTCGTTTGCATTGACTGCTGCATTTTCACTGATCCCTATTAGTCTTATATTGTTTCTCTTGGCATTGTCTTGAAGCTGCTGGATTGTCATTTCATACTGCCTTATTGTTTTTATAAGTTCTACCTTTCATGATCACTATCAGTGACCCTGTCTTCAAGGTCTGAAATTCTATCCTCAGCTTCATTTAAATGGTTTTGCCAGCTTTCAACAGAATTTTGCTTCTTAGATATCTCTGAATTTCTTTCGTGGATTCTGCTTGTTTTCTGCATTGTTCATTCAAAGTTTCAATCAATTTCCCATGCTCTTGTATTATTTTTTCATCTATTTCTTCTCTAACTATGTTAAGCAACTTATTTACTAAGGTTGTTATTTCTGTCTTTACATAAGACATTATTTCTAATTTGACTTCCTCTGTAGCCTCATCAATTTATTTCTTTACTTCTTTTGCTGTCTTTTCAGAGATTCCTGATGTGTTACTTTTGAAGTCTTCTATTTCAAGGTCACCTGTACTTGCTCCTGATGAACTAGATGTTTGAGATTGCATTTTGCCTTTTTGTTTTGTCATTTTCACCTTTTGGGTAAATATTTGGTTTTTCAATCCCAAAAGTCTCAACTGTCTGTAGTATGAATTTTAAGGTCCTACTATGTGGTTGATGTTTGTCCAATTGCTGGGTATCACAATGAAGAAGAGATCCAGTCACCTGAATTCCTCGAACAGGGCCTGTTGGGTGAGTCCTATATTCTTTCTGGGGTAACTAGCCTAGAAGTATTGATGTAGGTCAAGTCTTAGTTCTTGCTGTTGCTATGTCTTCAGGGTGTTGCAAGTCACCAGATATCCCAGTCTGTAGTGCTTGTGTCAGCTGAGGCCCTACGGTGTCACTGGGAGTCTCATAAGCTCTTTTAATTTTTTCCAAGTTGCTGGAGGCCTTATTGGCACACTCCTTAACCTGTCTGATGTTCTCTGTGTGGAGGAGGGATTACCCACTCTTGTGCCAGGTTCATTAAGGTCTTACAATTGGAGGGAGTTTCACTTTTGCTCCTATTTACCCACTGCAAACTTCTTTTTTAGGGGAAAACTCACCACACTGACTGGAGTCTGCTGAGGTCTTCTATTTGGGTGAAGGGTTCCTGAGTCTCCCATCCAGCCTGCACGGTAATCCACTGTAGTCTAAGGTTCTGGGAACAGGTGCTGGATCCAAAGATCAACTGCAATACTAAATCCAGGAGGCAGGTGGGTTCCCTAAGGGATAGGCCAGCAGCAGCAGTCCAAGATGTTTAATTCATGCCATGGGTGTCCCAGGCATTCCCAGTCAAGGGGTGGGCCCAGCAGCAGCAATCCAAGGTGACCCAGACCTGCTGGGGCCTCCCATATGTTCCCAGCCAAAGGGCAGGCTGAGCAGCAGCAGTCCAAGGCAACCCAAGCCTGCAAGGACAGGCCAGGTGTTCCCATGGAGAGGAAAAAATATAAATCTTTAAAAATGTAGAAATTAGATTTCTCTGCAACACTTAATAAAAATGGATATTGAATTTAAAAACCTATAAAATTTTTAAAATGAAGTTGTTACTTCCTTCATTAACGTGTATATGCCTTTAAATTACTTTATATCTAAATGACTAAAGGAAGAATGTGGACTTGAGGAACTGTTTAAAATTGGAGAGATTCTATCGTGTTTTACAAGGTGGTAAGAACAATCCATCTGAAAGTAACATATCCATTCATTTATTAATTGTGTATATTTCCAGTAACGATGTAAAATAATACAAAATAGCTATTGATTTATTAAGAAAACATAGAAGATTTTTGAGATATTGGCAAATAGACCTATATATGAATAGAAGGAAAATTAAGAGTTCTTTTGGAGGACATATTTTCTCTTTTAGTAGAAAGCCTATTGAGTGATGCTGAAAAAGTAAGATTTCATAGAATGATAAGGTTGAGAAAGAATCACATAAAAACAAAGGGACTGCTGGGAAATGGAAGATTCACTTGGGTCGTGAATTTATAATGATTGCAATCTGCCTGTTGAATGCCTATTTGCAGCACATTGTGTCTACTTGACAAGGCAAGGGCAAAGCAGGGACACGGAGGAACCTCAATGAAAGTGTGGTTTTTAAAAGGTGGGAGGTGTGAAGGTATGAATAAACCTGAATAAAGGCCCAACAATCTTAGAACACCAGCAAATTGTTAATGAAATGACTGTTTATAAAATCAGAATAGTGTAAGAGACAGAAAAAACCAATAACTTATTTTAAAGAGTAGAGAAGTCAAACAATCACACAAGAAACCAAGATAGAGAGAAGCTATTGTCAGAGATCTAGGTGAGCAGATTAGTGACCTGGGATAGAAAAATTATGAATGAATAGGTGAGCAAATTTAGTTGAATATAGGAATGTTCTATTTACAAAAAGTGTATATGGAATACCACAATATGTATTTTGTTGTTTTTACTAATTCCTGAATATCATGAGAACAATAAAGTCAAGGAGCAGAAAGCTAGATCCTTCGTTATATCATGTATATTGTTCTCATGATATTCAGGAATTAGTAAAAACAACAAAAATACATATTGTGGTTTTCCATATACACTTTTTGTAAATAGAACATTCAAAATCAAAGTGAAATGTGGACTGCATCAGCAATAGTATCAATAGAAACTTAATATAAGGGATTTTCCTTGGACTTTTTAAACTACTTAAAGCAAAGACTATTGTTTATTTAAATTAGCAAAAGCATGTACAACTCATCTTTACTATTTAACTGTGAAACTAAATCAATTTTCAATTTCACAAAGCAAATTCATAATGAAAAACAAAAATCAAACTTTCTCTCTTTCTCTTCTCCCTATCTGCCCAAAATTTTACAATTTTAGGAGTATCAGGTATTACTAATGATTATGAATTACAGAAGTATGTTATATTTAATGAAAACAAGAATGATGCTTACCAAAAGAAGGTGACTCTCTTCCATCCTCTAAGCCAGAATCTCTCTCTCTGTCTCTCTTTCTGTGTTTATGACCACGATGCCTGTGACGTCGATGGCTTTTTCTTCCTCCCAGAGGCACATGAACTCCAATAAATAGTGTTCGATGACCTTCATCAGGAAGTAAATGTACACATTAAACTTCATATTATTTCAGAGTGCATATGATTTACACATCAATGGAAACAGCTCAAGTCAATCCAGCAAGTTGTTTTTGAGTGCTTTGTTATGACATGTAAATCTTAGGACTTGGCACTATATTTTGCCATTATACTTAAGTAAGCATATCACTAATCTATCATAAACATTTATAGTACTAATTATTTTATATTTTATAATCATTAATTTATTAAAGGTCATCATTTATATTTATGCACCATATTTGAATTACACTCTTCTCATTAGAAAAATATTGTTTTGCCTTCTTCCTATATTTAACTATGTTATATTACCAATTACCTTTCCTTCAAAGTCAAGTTTACAAAAAAATCACTATTTCTAATAAAACAGATTTTATGTTGACTTGTCAAATTCCCTTCCATCTGTGGTGCATGATCTCATTGACAGCTCTCTTTTCCCTTACTTTCTCTGCTCATCCTTCTCCTCATGCTTTGTTTAATTCATATTACATTGTTTGCTGATTTTTAAACTATTTATCCATTCAAAATTGGAGATCTGAAGGACTCTGTCTTTGGACCCTTGATTTCAACTACTGTGCTACAGGCTCTAAGATCTATATATTGATGCCAGAATTTGCCCTTAGACTGCCAACCTACATTTGCACCTATGTGCTATGTATATTCACGTAGACATTCTTCCTACAGGCATGCCACATTCAGTACGTCTCTGAAACTCTGCCTTTCCTTTGTGCTCCAAGTATCAGCTACCTAGCATATCTCAGTGAATGTACCATCTATCCAATCCTCTCAAAGTTCATGTAATTTATCACCAGTTCCTGACTCCCAAATGACTCTTAAAAGCATTCTCAATGGTTACTATCTTAGTTTGGATGCTCATCTTTTCTCATCAAGACTATTAAAAGATCCCCCTTACTGGTTTTTTGTTTGTTTTGTTTTCAACTAACTTCAATCTTGTCCCAGCTCTTATTTATCCTAAATACTAATATCTTTCTTTTAAAAAAATTAACATTATTCACTTGCTTTAAATTTATTGATTACTCTCTATTGTCCATAGAATAAAAATTTTGATTCTCTAGACATTTAAAAAATACTTTAGATATTTAAATAAAATGTCTAAAATTTTTAGTGCTCCAAACAATATCTGTCCTCTGTTTATTTCTTCTAACATTAATTCATACACTACAGTTTTTTGTGTTTCTGCATCCCTAAACAGCCAGATGTTTTCCAGTTGTGTGTCTCTCTCTCTCTCTCTCTCTCTCTCTCTTCTCTCTCTCTCTCTCTCTCTCTCTCTCTCTCTCATTTGTTCTCTCTTTCTCTTTGTCTGTCTGTCTCTCTCTCTCTCTTTCTTTTTTCTTTTTGACCTGATGCTGTTCTATGGAACCAGAAATTAGCAAAGATTACTTGAGAAAGGCAGAATATCAAATGCAAGACTTGAGCTGGATGGCTAACTACAGAATCTAAGATAAAGAAACTTGACAAACTAGGTGACAAAAGACTTCAATAGCTAAACATCCAAAGAGGACTGAAAGGTGATTTCACTGAAAGCAAAAAGGTAGCACTGTAGCTGGGTGTGCAAGAAGAGTTATAAAAATGCAGAAGATGTACCCTTCAGGATAAAGGTAAGCTCTAGTAAGAGGCCATGCAAACAAGTTACTGCATATCATGTGCTCATTTACCACCTATACATCTTCTTTTGTGAGGTATCCTTGTATTTTCCCGCTTTGTAATTTTGTTGTTTTCTGCCATTTTAAGAGATCTTTGTATAATTTTGGATATGATATATCCAAACTTATATCTTTGGATATAAGTTCAGGCTACTATAACAAAACACTATAGGAGAGCTTAGACAACATAAATTTATTTCTCCCAGTTATAGAGGATCAGAAAGTTCAAGGCAGAGGGCTCTTTTTCTGGCTTGTAAATGAATGCTTTATTGCTGTATCTTCACGTGGCAGAAAAAGATATCCTCTGTTTTAAGGGCACTGACCCTATTCACAAGGTTTCTATCACCATGAATCAATTCTTTCTCAAATTACTTCTCACTTCCAAATGCCATCATATTGAGGATTAGGTCTTCAGCAAATGAACTTTGAAGGAGACATAAATATTTAATTCATACCACTCTGCCTCTGGTAAAATCCAAGGTCGCTTAAATTTTCCTTTTGTCTTTCAGAAACTTTATAATTTTGTGCTTTACATTAGGTCTATGATGTATTTTGAGCTACTTTTTGTGAAAAGTAAAAGATCTGAAGCTAATTCTGATCTAAAATTCTCATTGTGTAAAATCTAATTTAAATGCTTAATGCATTTATTCAGTTTTATCTAATTGAATTAAAAACCTACATCTACCAAAAAATCTGCATACAGATACTTACAGTAATTTTACTCACAACTGTCAGAAATCAGAAATCAGGAGGCACTTTAACATATGAGTGAATAAATTGAGATACATCCATATAATTATTACTCCACAATAAAAATAAATGAACTATCAGCTGCAAAAACACATAGAGGAAGCTTAAGTGATATCATTAAAAGTTAAAGATAGTTTTAAAGTGCTACATGCCCTATGAGACCCTATTTGACATCCTGGAAAAGATAAAACTCTAGAGGCAATAAATACCAGTAGATACCAGAAGTACAGGGAAAAGTTTAGGCATGAAGGAAGAGAGCATGGGGCACTTTTAAGGATGTTAAATTTTCCTGTCTGGCACTATAATAATGGATACATGTCATTAGACATTTGTCAGACCCACTGAACTATGAAACACAAAGTGAATGCTAATGTATACTATGGGCTTTAGTTAATAACAATCTATTAATATTGATTCAACTGTAACAAACGTACCCTACTAGTAAAAACATTAATAATATGAGAAACAGTGTACTAAAGAGAGGGCATATAAAGAAACTCTCCATATTTTCTGTGAAGTTTCATTGTAAATCTAAAATTGTTCCTAAAAGTAAAGCCTATTATTTTTTTAAAAAAGAAATTTATTTATAAGAAATCAGAAGTATAAACAAATATGGGAAGATTTATGTAAGCTATTACATTGGATATGAGAGAATTGTATGAGCACACTGACATACTGTGAGTATGTGGTAAGGGTTTTAACAGAAAAGGCTGCAAACCCAACCTACTTTGACAGCATCCTGATCTCAGACATAATATCACCAAACTTTGAGAAAATGAAAACTTAATTTCTGCTGTTTAACCCATCTGGCTTATGGCATTTTGTTACTGCAGCCTCAGATAGGTAATACAGAAGGGAATGCCTATGCCAAAATCTTTGTAGTGTAGTAATATTGTTTCATAAACCATATTATTAATGCTGTAAGATTTCATAAACATCTGATGAATATCAGTTAAGCTGAAAGTGTTCCTTTAGAAAAAATAAATGAATTATACAATAATGACTTATTTAGTAGGTATGTTTACACTTAAATTATGTCATTTTTTTCTTTATGAAAAAATCAGAAACAGAATATCTTTGTGTGTAAAGGTCAAAATACTTCCAAATTCTAGCAAAATTGGAAGTATATGGCATTCTAGTCTTGGAAGAAAATCTGAATATATATATATATATTTATTATATACAACATTTTTGAGATTAATTCTTACATGTGTAAATATCAATTGCATAATTCTAAAAATAAATATAGAACATTTATCTCAAAAACCACAAACTCAAAAAGTTTCTATATTTAGGTCTCTGTTCAGCATGTATCCAAGAAGATAAGTGAAAATTGGTCATTGTTTCAACAGTTTAAACATAATTAAAATGCACAAAAGGCCTTTTATCAATAAGAAAGGCTCAATTTTAGACAAGGAATTAAAGGAAAATATTTATGTGTATATGGTCCTATTTATTATTTTATTTACTAAGGCATCATGCTATGCAAGAAAACACAAAGTAGTAATTTAAAAACATGATCTCAGTGTTTGAATCAAATGGTTGCATGCAAATCTTGTCTCTGACAGGTATATTTATGCAACCTTGAAAAAAATTACTTTTTTCTTTCTCAATTACTTTATCAACAAAATGAAAATAGTAGTGCCTATATCATTCAGAAAGTGTTTTTTTTTATGATTCATAAAAGAAGATATTGAAAAAACTTTTCATGTTTTCAGTCCTACAACTGACAGGTCTGCTTAACTCCCCTAAATGTAAGCAGAGCAGGGGCACAGGAGTGTCGGGCGGTAATCAGTTCCCACCTCTGAAGTGTTGAGGAAGAAGGTGTTGAAAGGACTGGAGGCAATGTTAACACGGGTCGGAGGAAAGACTCTCCATCTGATCTGGAATATAGCCTGCCCTCCTGTAACTCCTTCCTTGATGCAGCTTTCTCTATTCAGGGTAGAGAAAGAACCTGTCAAAATTAGTACTACCTCTGTGATTGCGTACTGCACATTCCCAACTACAGCTAAAGTGTGAGGGATAAAAGGGAGGTAAAGCAGTGTGATTTTAAAATAAAATGATGAGAGAAATAGTAAAAGATAAAGCATAAGGAAAGAAGGTCAGAAAAGATTAAAGGTAAGCAAAATGTAAATGGACAGAAAATAATAAAAAGAAAACCAAAATAATAAAGAAGAAAAATATGAGAAGAAAGAAACAAGTGGACAAGTTTTATGGGAACAGAAGACACACAGAAAATTTGGTAACAGTGATTATAGTTGATGCCTTCATTTTACCAAATAAAAAGAAAGGCAGTTAAGTTTTATTATTTTTATAGGATACTTAATATATATATAATTGCAAGCTAGTAAAAATAATGTGTGTTCTCCTTTTGCCTTCCAAATCCTAAAATGCTTCCTGTGAGCCAAAAAAAAATCTGTTCTCCATCTATTTCCTATGGTTTTTTTATTCAAACAAAAACCTGTTTCTCTGAAGGACACTCCTTCTTTTCCAACTTCTCTCCATGTTCTCACCCAAAAAGAGACAGGTGTCTTTCTTTTCCTCCTGCCACTGTTTG